AGCATGGTTACTCACGTCAGTTGATTCATCAAGTTGGATCGCGAAACATCTCGATTTCTTTATCCCCTCTACAACTTGCTTTTCAATATCGATGGCCATGTCAACAATTCTCCTCTGAATAGTGGTGTCCGAAAGCGGTATAGCCTCTAGTTTTTTAGTGGCTTGAGGACCCAAAATTTCTTGTACGACATCTAAGATGCAAGGCTGTGGCTTATCAGTTAAATCTCTATGCTTCAAATGCAAATGTCGAGCCAGTTTGGACGGTTTCATAGCGTCATTTGAAAGAACTTCGGAACATATTACACACAAAGGCCGTGGCGATAGTTCACTGCCAGGGGCTACAATAAAACCAAGCTTTAAATATTCCTTATCGTAATGCCTAACAAAGTTTCCTTTTCTATTTTTGGTTTGTATTGCACATTCCGAAGTATCAGGATATTTCTTTTTCTTTGTTTTTTCTAAACTTGAAGCACTAGCACTTGACATACCTTCGGCACCATCACTTATTTTCTTCTGAATATTGTCCTTGCCTCTACTAAAGAAGGTTAAAAGGTTTTGCTGTTTGACTTTTTGTTTATCCATCTTGTAGGGTTTCAAATTTTACAAAAGAAATAATTTGTTTTCCGAAATTCCACAACCCAATATTAAAAAAAACAATACGTACGAGCGCGATAAAATAAGAATTCTTACAACGTGTCGTCGACAGGTGAGCTGACGCAATACTGGCATTCGGCGGCCGCACACTTCGTCTATACTCGTCGCGTGCAGCGCCCCGCTCGCCGCTCGCCTCGCAACAGTGGGAATTCCCCGAATCGCATAGCGGTATAGTCGGGTAAAAGCTTTCGCGGACCGGCAATAAACTCTTGCGGACCGGCGCCGGTCCGCGGACCACCGGTTGAAGACCACTGATATAGAGGACCTATGTGAATGCCACGTTGTACTACATAATACTATTCAAACGATATCTGAAAACATTAAGCAATAACTTAAAGTATGTTATCAATGTGATGAAAATGCTCTTAAGCATGTCTGTAGGTACTATTTTACAATTTAAAAAACAATTTACTGACGTAATAAAGAACTTAAATCTGCTTTTATATTACTTCTTATTTCAGGCTACCTCATTCTGGGCCAAATTGTAAATATGAATGATTATGACTAAACTTACATGAATATAAGAAACATGAAATTGAGTGAAAAGGGTGTTTTAACATTAAATTGTGTTCAGTGCTTGTAAAAATAATAGTTCCTTAGTACCATATTCTTTTGCACATACCGAGAAATGTCTCACGGCAAACTGTACCCACACCTCAGCACAGCTCACATAATGGCCTGGATCAGACAGGCGACTGACTACACGCCACACGTCATTCAAAATTTGAAGATGATGTTCAGCTGGAGGATCTGCCAGTGCCAGGCACAGTCCAAGTGTTCGAAACAACAAGTACTGTGGGAACCCTAGTTGACAAACACAATGAACTGCTGTACATACACGGATGATCAAGAACAAGCATATGTGAATGGATTCTGCTACCAGCTCCTTCAAACTACATCTAGTTAACTTAGTGATGGCAAAGTACAGTCAGAATTTATCAGCTGAGCTCTCTATGTATTGCCAGTAACAGAATAAATACATAAAAATCATATTATTACACATATTAGAGGCACATAATGAAAAAAGTTAATTTAGATGATGAAATATTTCTAAAAGTGACAAAAGACTTTCTTTCATACAACAAAATAACACATATACAAAAAAAAAAAGTTATTCATAACCTATAAACCCCACTTCAAATTAGCTCCTTGGGGTAAGGTCTGCCTGTAGTAAACTAATTTCACAGAATGGAGTCATCCTTGAGAAGCTAACAGGGGGAAGTTTTCTTGTCACTCAACATATTTATGGAGGTATAATTTTGAATAAAGGATGAAAGTTGCTAGTGACACATTACAACACTTCATTACCATTACAGCTAACAAAGCACTTACTTGAATATGAAATGAAATTAATGGTACAGATTAACTTCACTTTCCTCAATTTTGATATACAAGAATTAAGATGTTCAAAACTTTTATTTCATTGAACACACTGTTATTCTATTACCTGAGCACAATAACCACCATGAGAATTTGATTTAGTTTTTTAGTAAAGAAATTATGCAAGAAGCTGAATTAAAACTTTAAAGAACACTTACTGTATGTGTGAATGATGATAAAGAAAGTCTATTATTCAAAATTTTCCTGCAGGGAGGAATATTAAAAAAAGTCATGTTATCAGGATTCAAATTCAGTTAACTTCCTGGTAAAAATTAAAAGTGGTAACCACTAAATTAACATGTATCATAGGTAATTAAAACACTCAATAAGTGGTACTTGTGAGTTATCGGGACACATCGCTTTAAAAATAGGTTAGGCTAGGTCAGGTTAGTGTCATTTATTGAAATAAATATAATAACTTTCAAGTATACATCACTTATCCACACACACACATATTAACCTAACCTATTTTTAAAGCGATGTGTCCCGATAACCCACCAGTACCCAATAAGTATTAATTATTGCACTAATTATATCTCTCACAACTATATGAACTGTGCATGCAGAAGAGAGTCAAGGATTCCGGGCTTCTTTCTGTTTTTAAATGTTAATCCTCAAATTAATACTGAATCTTCTTTCAGTACAACTTTTAGGTAAGAAATGAACTTCCAGATGGTGCACTTATATAAGCACTAGAATAAAAATGTAAGTACATCAAAAAATTTAATGGTTGCTATCGCATTACATTCATTGCAAGCTTTATATACCATAGGGGAAATAAAACTCCATGACAGGACAACATTTTTAATAAAAATATCAAGAATTATGAACCTCATATTGCACACTCAACTAGAGCTTTCGAACACTACCTGATGAATTTCTACACTCCCTGCATTTTAAAGAATATACTGCCAAAATAATTACATGAAACACAAGTAAATACATTGTGTGCGTGTGTGGGGGGGGCACACGTGTGCGCATGAATATTGAGATAAATAAGAAAACAATGGAAGACATAAATGAATAACAAATAAATGTGAATTAATGAATGAAAAATAAAGAAACAACGCAAAATCAAATGCATGCAAAAGTTCACACACACAGAGAGAATAGTCAAAGAATCAAGACTCACCCTCCTCCTCACATGCTGACACCAACTCAATGAACTGAAGAGCGCGTGCTGCAATGTAGGATGGTTTGAAAGCAGCCATAATAGTGTTCAGCAGAAGTGCACTGTTGTTGCATTTTTCCTTGCACTGGGCTAAAATTTCTATTAACTGTTTTTCAGGGGCATTGGCTGCCACACCTTGCAAGATCCAGTCCAGGGCCGGTGTATACAGAGTCAGATATGTAGACAGATCCACTTTCTGCCTACTTAATTCTGCTCGAACACTGGGGCTAAAAAGCTAACCACAGAAAATATTATCCATATAAAGCACAAGTGAAGATCAAAATATGTGGCAAAACTTATTCGCATACAAACAGCCTATTGTCCATAAATCACTGGATAAGACATAAGGCAGAGACATAAAATATTTATTAATCACCTGTTACAAAATGAGGAATAGATGAACTGATTATTTTAGGAAGAGGGTGTCTAAAAATATGTTCATAAAAATTTCATCTTCTAATGTATCAGTAGAAAAGAAAATGAAACAGAATTACAATGTATTTTCTCACCAGCATTTTCCATAAAAATAAGCAAATCATTATATATTTAATGTTATCTACAAGATGCTTAAATACGGCAGAAAGAAACTGATTTTCTAGAATGTGTGAGAAATTAAATATGAAGAATATAACCATTTAATTTAAGATCTTTCAGATTTCTCATTAAATTTCAACAGGCACTTTCCTAGTAACAGATTTAAAACTGATTTCTTATGCACCTCTAGCAGGTGTCATTGAAAGAACTGTACAAAGAAACTGACCAGATTTTACCTGATTATATGATGCCAAAAAGTCATAGAAATTTTCCTTAATATAATCTCTGTCCCCTGTAGTAACAGCCATACCAACTCGACATAAATAGCAATGAGCATAAGCTGCAACAAGTGGATCTCCAATACCACGAATCATTCGTGTCAAACGCAGAAGTGCTTGAGAAAACTCACTGTAACACAAGAATACATAAACGATACACATTAAACTAATCTAATGTACAAGAAACATAGTATTCATATACAAATTATTCTTATCACTGAATTCATTATAAGTATTATGTGTAATTTATGGCTCTATTCATTATTATATCCACAGAGCAATCAGTTTTGCAACAACAGATTTGCTTTTAAAACTCTGGCTTTCGGGTGTAAGCCACATAAAACGTTGAGCATAACCGACATTTCGGAAAACACTGCAGTTGCCATCTTCAAGGCGAGTGTGTAGTGGGTTAAGTTCTGAAAGCCTCATATGTATAGGGCAGGAAGTATGTGGTGAGATAGATTTAAAGGTGCTGATTGGTAAAGAGTAGATACAAGCTGCTCTACCGATCAGCACCATCAGTACAATGAACTCCAGCCATGAGACACAAGGACTAGAATAGATTCATATCTACAGTAAATGAACATAGAGGCCGATAATATAAAAAACATTGCATTCGGAAAATACTTAACACAGGACACCTTTCCATACTTGTCTGTAGTAACTTGATATTCAGGCCCTCATCAGTTGAAATGGGGTTCACTGTAAGGATCTAAGGATTACAGCTGAACAGCATGGGCTACAGGAGTTACATTACCTTTCCACATATCTTCTTCTTCTTCTTCCTTGGCTCTACAACCCAGTTGTGGGTCTTCACCGCCTCCTTTTTCAGAGGTTTCCTAGTTTTTGAAGAGTGCATTTGTGAGTAGTGAGTGACAAGCCCACTACCTCTAAACAATTTCTATTCAATCCCGACTTTCCTGCTACAGCCATCTAGTAGTGAAGCAGGAGAGACTTGGGTGAGAAATGGACATTGAATTTTGGTTGTGAAACATCTCGTTCATGCTCGTAATGGGACCGCTGACTTTACTTCCCCTCCGAAGGAAGGTGTGCTATGGATTTTTATCACCCTTAAAAATCCATCGACCTTGGCTGGGTTTGAACCCGCAAACCTTGGGTCCAGTGGCGAGCGAGCGAATTTGTAAAAAGATAAATAATTTTTTTTACTTACCTACAGCAAATCTACAGTTGCAAAGCTGAGTGTTGGACAGATATAACAATACAAAGAACCAGAAATTGTTTTTCTTTGTTTGGCTTGTTAAATATTATTTCCCACATTGAATATGTTATATTTTTAATATTTGGTACAATGATAATTTTTGTGAAAATCAAAAAAGTTTCATTTGAGATTCATAGAGGGATTATACTAACGCCAAAATTAAATCTGCTAAACAACTTTAAATATGGTGTTAGTGGGACGCTTTACTTTGACTGGATAATATACACACAATATTTCTGTGACTACACAAAAGCCCATGCAGGTCATATCATGTTGTAAGCAGCTCATGTTTTCTGACAAAAAGAATATGTCAAGAATTGGTTGTGTGGCTTTTTAATCATTCTCTATAAATACATTCAAACAGTCAATACCATGCTCTATACCTGGATGTAAGAAAGCTGTAAGATTTAAGAATGGCCATTTCAACATATAGACGTGGCACAAGTTCACGAATCGACGCTATCTTATAGAACCAGTTACGGCATGTCTCCTTGGCTGATTCAGGCACCATGTCTGGGGTGAAACTCTCAGGAAGTGGTGTTGGGGTCTTGCTTCCTGGACTTTAAACCAACACTGATTAATATGATGCACTTCAATACATTCTTAAGACCATCACTTAGAAGACTCATTACCATCATTATGCCCCATGGGCTATTACCAATATTACAAAACATCTTTCCATCTTTCAGTTAGGTCTTCCCAAAGATTATCTTCCTCAGGGTTAATATTTCATACTTTTGGGGGTGGCAATACTGTCAGAACTCATTCTTTCTTTAACAATTGATTAGAACAGAAAAACAATTGATAGTATGGTAGATTCCACCGTTTGTGGACATCTACCATACTAGACAGTGTAACAACCCAGAAGACAGCAATCTTCAAAAAAACAATTACACTGGTGTTGGAAGAAATACACATAAAACATGTTCAGAGGGTAAAAAAGTAGTAACCCTATTACTGGATTTTAAAACTGACTAGTAAAATAAAATATATGAATATTCTGTAATTGGAAATGTTAAACTAATAAACAAAGATCTGAGAGGAACAGTGGGCTAAGCCACACTTTATTAGAACTGAAAAAATAGAGATAAATTTAAACATATTTGCTTAACTCCACTTTGTAAGATTCTAACAGAGCATACAGCCTCTTTATAAAAGTAGAGGGTGATACTGTGATTACTCTTATTAACTATTCAAGATATTCCAATGTTGTATGTTAGTCCACTGTTGTTCCCAAGTCTTCAAATGTTGAGTATGTATAAAAATACTTACACATAATACTCAGCCTTTGTACGGAGACGATCATATACCAGCTTACCAAAAATATCAAGAATATCTGTGATAAGGACAAATTTGCTTGGATAGAACTGGATTACAGAAGTATCCACAAGAAGTTTAGAACACTGAATAGCTATCTTCAATGCTTTCACACGCTGGTCATGATGCCAAGCTTGAACCAATTCCTGATTAAGCTGTTCAATGCGATTCATATATTCTTGTTGGGTCAGATTCAGCATTTGTCGAACAGAACCTTCTTCGAAGTCATCTAATTGTTCCAGTCGATTCTTTACCTTATCCACAACAGAGCTTTGTGCTTTCACCACAACTAAAACAATTCCATGTGCAATCAACATCACAAAATGTAATAAATTCTATTTTTATCATGTTCAAGCATATAAGGCTGCTCTTGTCTGGGATTACAATGTTACAATAATAATTAATGCAATCTGCCACTCAATACACAGTGACACTTCACAAGCCAAATTCTGAAGAAAGTCTAAAACTAGAAAGATACACAATGACAATTACAGAAAGTTGTCTCTGAGCAACAAAGCAAATGCGGCAATTAACAGAATACTGCTACTGCATACATGTAAATAGGCAACCTTCGTCATACTACATTCAGTTAACTATGTGCAAACTCCCATGCATAATTTTTTTATTTACAGTTATCCGCAATTCAGATCCTTTGTCTGTACTTTTATCTATGCAAGAACAAATACATCTCTTAGATGTCTCTAATAAGAAAATCAGCTTTGCAGTTTCTTTTCTTACTCTTGAAAGATCAAAATTTTCCATTTGGATCTGTAATTTTCATCATTCTTGTGAATTTTTATACATGAATACTGAAATATGAAAAACAAGAGACAGGATGAATTTTAATTCTGGTTAAATGTGTCTGTATACATGTTTTCCAGCCATAACAGTTACTTCCCTAAGTATCATACATATCATTAATAAGCATATGTTAATCCCTTCAAGGTAACAACACACGTTTCAACAACAAAGTTGGAGCATCTCTCACATTATGGTTCAGATGGCTGCCGATCAGGAAAAACAAATGTTCTGTGCCTGTCCTACGATACATACTAGGGAGATAACTACAGCAGTAGATTCTAGTCTTCTGACTATATTTTACTGCTAGTTTAATGCCTTTAACCTCCCACATGGGAGGAGGCCAAGGCTCAAATTCGGGCTGTTGCGCCATTGTAAGAAGTTCAATACCTCTAGTCTACAGACTATGCTTTTTTAAATACAAATTATCTATGTGAAGATGCACAACTGAATTATATACTTATTTTCAGGAATACCATAAAATTGCTAGGAAATCAATGCACAAATACTACTTTTATACAGATCTGTGACCATTTTAGACTATAAAAATTGTGTTACAATTACTTCCTTACAATATAGCACAAGAACTTTACATGGGAATTTCAGATGTCTAGGAAAATACCAACAGTAACAGGATTAACTGTGATACCCACCTGAAACTCCCAGTCATAACCAAAAATGAAATAAAGTTATTCAGAGAAATAATATTTATTGTTCTCTAATTCAGAAAAATCAAAGTACATGTTGGTATGCCGCCAGCAGACAGGCAGAATCATATTAGGGTGGCTATTAAATCCTTTGACAGTGTGACAAATTCAAATATTTAGGAACAGCAATAACAAATAAAAATGATATTCATGAGGAAGTTAAGAGACTAAATTCTGGAAATACTTGCTACTTCCCAGTTCAAAATATTTTGTCTCCCTGTTTGATTTCTATAAGCCTAAAGATTAAACTATACAAAACAATAATTTTGCCTGTTGTTTCATATGGATGCGAAACAAGGTCTCTCACTCAGAGGGAGAAACATAGATTGCAGGTGTTTGAGAATAGGGTGTTGAGGAGGATATTTGGGCCTAGGAGAGAAGAGGATGGGGCATGGAGAAAACTGCATAATGATGAGCTTAAGAATCTGTACTCCTCCCCCAAAATTGTCAGGCTGATTAAGTAAAGAAGAATGAGATGGGCTGGGCATGTAGCACGCAGGAATGGGACAAGAGGTGTGCACCGGGTATTGGTCAGAAATCCTGAGGAGAAGAAACCACTGGGGAGACCTAGACATAGATGGAAGGATAATATAAAGCAGGGTCTACGGAAGGTAAGGGTTGAGGGTGATTGGATTTTGTTGGCCCAGGACAGGGACCAGTGGAGGAACTTATTATTTCAAATGTACAATATTTGTTACATACCTTTCTCCCCTCCAGACAGGAAGCTTGTGACAATTGATAATTTTTCTGAAGTGGTGAATTTGTTTAATATGGCAGACTTTCTAGCAGCCCATGGCTCAACAGCATCATCCAGTAAAGTATCTTTGCTCTTTCTTTGGTCACTCTGTACTGGCTCCCACTATAAATATAACACATATATATTACATTAGAACTCACATCATATAATTTCATCACATTGATAATAATTTTGACATTTCAGATACACACCATGTCAGCAGCCATCTTGGAAAGGGGGTCCATTTCTTGGCGTGCAAAATGGGTTAGGGGATCTGTGCCTTCAAGAGCAGCTGCCAAAGACTCCAATGTTGGTGTTGGTGTAGAAGAGCCAGTACTACTAGTAGTGCTTCCTCCTATTGTCCGTCTGATAACACGAGACTCTGTTACCTGTACCAAGTGAAGTTGAAATGTTCAAATTTACACAAGATAGTTATGCTTAACAATACAAGTCTCGGAAAACAAAATTACCGTAATCATAAGAGGCTTCAGTGGATGATCTGATACCTCTTCTAATGACAGTTGCCTCTTCTGTCGATCTGCTGCATAGTCGTATACTCGGCAAGACCTATTTAATAACACAAACCATAATACAAATTCCACATCCAAATAACACACTTAATTGGCAAACCCACATACTAATATTATACACATGTTTCTCTTACCATTCACAAAGTGAAGGGGATTTAGTTGTTGACATTTTGGGGTTCCGTAAACTTATATTCTACACTTGATACAGCACGTAAAATTTACTCATGCTACGTTACGAATAACCGAAAGGTTAAAAATATAAGCCAACGCCATAATGCGTACATACAGAATTAATAAAGAACTTCTGTTCAAGCTACAAAAAGAATTGCCGCCTGCTGTATTGAAGAATGACTAGATATCTTGGCAAGTGGGCGGTTCTTTCCAAGCTGGAAGAACAAGAACCCGTTGGGGCATCTATCCGCAGCACAGTAAAATTACTTGAGAAGAGTACACTCTACTCAAGATAGATGTCGCCAGCCACACAGCTCTTCGGTTGTATAAACCACATCGACACTGATTGCTAGTTTTTCTTTCCAAGTCATCTTATTTACGGATCACAGATAATTAACAATCACACACTTATGTAGGGACGGAGAAAACAATAATCCAACATTTTAATTTGTTTATGTTGGTCACGCTAATAGATAGAGTACAAGTCTGTGAAGGTGGTGTGGTGTAGATGTAGAGGTCCGCAATGGCATTTGCAATAAAACTCTCTCGGAAGAAAGCTTGGTCGAAACATGGTCTTACTACCCGTTGAGGTGAATTTGTCATGTTGCTGATATTGTGTATCGATAATCAGACTAGCGTTATTGAAAGATACGCTTCTGTTCAAGTCCAAGAACAAACACAACAAATAAAAACACGTAATTCTCTAAGTTTTATGTGTAATGCACAGGAATTAGGGCTTAGTGTAATTCATTATTCAGAAGTAATGTTCAGCATTGTGAAAAAATTATTAGGTATCTGAACAAGCGTTTGAAGATGTAACTGAATTGTTATCGGTTGAGGCGTGGTTGGAGAAGACTGGAAGAAGGCACTAAAATGGAAGTTGTAAAAATCGCGATGGGTGGTCACACAAGTCAAACCCCCGAAGTTACAAATACCGGTTACTCACGGATATTTGAGTATCTGGTTGTCGTTCTGCTATTCGTTTATTGCTACGGTTCATAATTATGGGGCAATGAGTGGTAAAGGGTGAATGTGCATAGAAAACTTAAGTAACACAGCTTAGCATGTTCCATATGTTGTGTTGACATCTGCAAATTATTTAATTGTCGATGGTTGAACTATGCAGCATAAATTGTTGAAAGTAAGATAGCATCTGTAGTAGCCTTTGAAGAAGAAAGTTTTGTATCAGTATAGCTACTATAGATGGTCTGTAACAAGAACATGACGGAACAAAAGTTAGACAAGACTTCTACTTTGCAATTTATTCGTGAATGAAGTTTCTTATTTAAATTAAGTATTGTCAGCAAGAACAAAGGTAAAAGGCAATAGAAACATTTAGAATTATTTTGGTGCTTCTGGTTTTGTAATATGAAAAACTGGCCAAAAACAAAATACCAGACATTTTATATTACAGAGGTGTTTTATTTAGATAAGAATAGCCATTGCACTGCAGATCGATTAACTCTAAATCATATTGCGTGACGAAAGTGTTATGAGGCTTAGAGAATGAAGTGAAAAAAGACTGTCACACACGCCAATTGAATTTTGATATGTTTTACTTTCGGTTTCCATGGTCATTCAATAACAAGTGTGTGTATGAGACATTATGCCCAGTCTTTGCAGTTTAACGATGCTCTAGGTTGTCACCCCGGGTAGACTAGTAGGTAGATACTAATGTTTTATGGGACGAATCTGTCTCAGCTTTGAACGCTAAGTACAGTATGTAGGATTTGAGTTTTTCACGTCGTTGAGTCTGAAGCTGACTGTCGTGCTTTTGCGAAACCCTGTACCAACGTCGTCACAGCCCAGAACATAGTCATTTCCAACGCTGTGAAAACTTAAAATCTCACCTTTACTAATTTAGATAATGGTATTTGTCATCAATATTAATTTTTGCAATTGATTTACACCAACATTTGATTTGGGAAAAACAGAAACGAGACAACTGGATGATACAAGAGCAGGGTGCATCGCACACAGATGGCAGCATATGATGGGCGGGAACTTGCTCTTGAGGCACAGAATTTTGAAGCATTGCATTGAAGTGCCGTAATCAGGGTCGGCGCCAGAGGTTAGCAAATTATTAAATTGTTTAATGGAGCCATAGTTGAAGGGGCGCTAAAAAGAGCCAACGTTTAAACAGACGCATGTGCGCATCTGACTGTCTTATGGATCCATGGAATGTAATAAAATATTATTATTATTACACCCCACCCTTACTTATATCCGGGAATCTGACAGGGTTGCCAATAGATTGTTTATCATAGATTGTAAAATGTACTGTCGTTTTTGAAGGACTGTGGGTAGAGGAATGCAGAGTTAAGAGATGTCAGTTGTAGTTGCTGATACGTTAACGAATTTTGTGTGATATTATTGGTCTATTCATTGACATAACAAATAGAAAGTAGCTCCAGGTTTATGTTCTCTGACATTATCTCGTTGTATGCACGATAGTACCTATACGTTCAGTGATTGTTATAGCTTCTTTGCAATCCCGCGTAGCATCACTAACAAGGAAGGACGCGTAAGAAGAAAATGGGGGATAATCGTAAGTAATGTTTTATCAAGTCATTATTTGTTTCACATTTGTTTAATTGCAACATCCTGTTGCCAATTCAAAGTAATGATATATTAATATTAAAATCAGTATTTTTCAATGAGTTGCCTAATGGAGTATTCGTTGCCGGCGTTTGTGAATTGTAGTCAGAATGTACAGGTAGGCTTATGTTGGATGTTCGAATAGAAATATGCTAGGAACGTGTAAATTCTGTTTCATAATACGGACATTGCGATGAATGAAATTTTTTTGTGCATTATCCTCCGTTTTGTGTGTTTTCAATGATACGGTTCAGTAGTGAGGCTATGGATTGATGTGTTCGTTTTGCATTTAGAGTACGGAAATTACAATTCGGGAGGTACAGCGTACGGGGGCTATGCAGGTTATTCGCAGCCTGCCCCAGCAGCAGGCGGTGCTGGAGCTGCAACTGCTGCTGCCCCGAATTATCCGTCAACACAAGGATATGATCAAAGTGGGTATAACCAACAGGGTTCATGGGGACAACAACAAGGTTATGGAAACTATGGAACCACTGGTGACCAAACATCATACTCTCAGCAAGGTTATATGGATTCCTACTTATACTTTCTGTATTTTGAATTCATAATGAATTTCTGTATGTATATATTGGAAAGTCTGTACAGTTATGTTTGGACCGCATTAGTTGATTTTATAATGTATGGTGTTTCAAGAGTACATGAGGAAGTTTGATCAGTTATAATATTAGAGCTGTTTTTATTTAAATGGTCTTGGCAAAATTAGAATGTTCACTTAACTTTCCAGAACATTAAGACCTGTGCTATTGAAGTAAAAAATGTTCGTACTCCTTGAAACATGCCTTTCTACTGTTGGGCAGATAGAAATTTAGTGACAGGTTATATTGTTACCAGATTTACTGGCATTTATAGTCTGTTACTCTGTGAGAAAGCTTTGGCCTTGGCAGTATGGAAGTCCAGTCCCAATAACCTGCAGCCACTAGAAACTGATGTATTTCAGTTGAGAAAACATTGCGCTGTACTCCTGTTGAGTTCTGTGTGCAATTCATTGTCCTTCATTTTCTTTTGTCTTAGTGTTTACGAGAAAAACTGAACACTTTAAAAGTGGTCAGCAGTCAAAATGAAGGTAAATAATTCATAGTGAATCTAGGGAGATGATATATCATTTGAATCATTAATGTAGAGGAGCAGTGGGAAAAAGTTGATTTGCCTATTTTCCATGCAGATGAAAGTACAGCAGACTATTGTGGAGTGTCAGTTGCAACAGCGAAACTGTTTAGATGGGAAAGCAGAGTTAGAAATTGTGCAGAATTACAGTTTTTTTTTAAAGGTCTGTATGTTCTCCCCCATAATGTCTGCCTGCACTGCCAGGGTCAGAGCTTGTCTTCTGAGTAACAGACATTAAATGTGGTATAGTATAGATGCACTTAGTTTATTTTTCATTATATTTTATCTGTGGCTAAAAATATGCTATAGTTCTCAAAGAAATGCAGTGAAACTGTCAGATCAGGTAGATTTTGAAGTGTTCTTCAAATTGCAGTTGAGGAATGATGTTGATTGTCTTCTGGTTTATGATGCTGTGTAGTCTTGTAGGATTACCGGTGTTTGGGAGGCTGTAGGGTTCTCCAAAATGAGGATAAAAATAAATTTCTTAAGTGCTCTAAATATAATCTGTCCCTGTCTAAAGACATTTTTCATAAATGAAATAACAGATTTCTGATATTATCAGATCTCTGGCCACCAATCTTTTTCCACAAAGTCAAATGTAGTAAATTTTTTAATAAATACTCATAGCATTTTAGTAAATTGTCTTCATTATAACCTTGTGGCCTGTGAGTATGTAAGAAAGGGTTATGTTGTAATCAGAGTAAACAAGTTTCCACATGTTTTATGTACCCTGGCATTCTGAATGTGCCCAGCTGTTCAGATATGTTTTATAAAGATGTTAACAATATTGAGTACAAGTGTTTTGTGTCGGGACATTTTAAGAATTTTCCTTCTTTACTGATTTTTATCATGCTCATAGAAGAGCATATTTTCAAATAGAGGGTCTTGATTTTGCTTTTATGTTACAAACTATTGATTACGTGCAGTACATTGAACTTTCAATTATCCAGACTAATGATGCGGAAAAGAAACACAAATAATTGAAAAACACAGATAACCCAAAATATTTTTTTTGTGCATTCACAGAACCTGACAAATAACTGTTTTTACACAGCTGATTTGAGAAGTAGTTTGTAGTGGTCACTTGTTTTTGTGAACTGTTTATCCTCGTCAGTTAATGGTAGTGTGAATTCTACTGTCATTCTTCCCACCCTTATCTTCTCAGCCTCACTGGATTTATGTAAAACCACATAAGTTCTGAGATTGTTGGTATTGTGGATGTACTTGGCCTTTACCCCATAATCTGTGGCAAATAATGTGGCCAACAATCAGATTTTTTAAGTAACTTGCGCTTATATTTTACTGTTCGTACGGTTTTCTTATGTTTTTCAGCCATCTACCTTAGGATCCACAACCATCCCCATTTCACTGGAACAAACCTCCCCACCTTACCATTGACATTGATTGTAAAGCTTAAAAAATAGGAAATAAAGGTGTTGTTGACTGTATCTTCTGAAGACACTCCAGAAACCAACTCTACTCCTGAAGTTGGTAGAGAAAGATATCAAAAGTCTATTTCACATTTTTCTGTGTTTATGTAAAAAAATAAGTTTTGCACAGTTTGCATATGGATGTGGATAATCAGGAGTTTACTGGATATGTGATATATTGAGATTACTCTTGGTTTGTTAATTTTAAGGAAAAAGAATTTCTGTTTGAATATTTGTTGCATGTATTGTACTATTTTTTAAACTAAAATTTGTAGAGGTAAGTACAATTAATATATTTTTTCAAAATATGAAAGCATTGAGAACTGCAGATTAACCTAGACCACTTCAGAATGTCACTTTGCCTTTTTTTGTTATGATTTGACAAACTTGCCCTTCACTTGTTTCATTTGAAATATAGTGCATGATATAACCAGCCTAGTGGAGATCATGTGTCTCGCAAGAACTCAAAATATGGGGGGTGATAGGCCCAGTAAGAAGGATGTTTAAATTTGCCGAATGATATAGAAGCAGTGGCTTACCCTGGAAATACCACGTCTTAGGTCATAAGTAGCGACTTCCACAAGTAGCACCAAGTTTAGGTTGGATATTCTTTAGTTTGTTATACTTTCCTCATTTTAATAATTACTTTTGCTGTTAGGAGGGAGTTACCCATCTTATGATCATTCATCTGGCTATGGATCAGGACAGCAGCAGCAACAACAGCCGCAGCATCACCATCAAGGAGGCTACCAGTCAAGTTACCCAACACAACCACCACCTTACGGTGACCAGAGCAGTGGAGGCGGTGGTGGAGGTGGTAGTGGTGGTGGCGGCCAGTATTCAGGTTATAATCAGCAGGGATCTAGCGGAGGATATGGACAACAGTCTGGTGGCTATGGAGGACAACAGGGTGGTTATGGCAGCCAGGGCTATGGAGGTATGTACATACGTGTGGATAGAGTTCATTATGTGTTGTCTAGCATTTGGACTGCTCTTCCTCCTTTGTCAGCAACACCACAACACTAGGAATAGGAAAAGTAACAGGATACGTGGACTGCCTTAGAAGGAAGCCGTAGAAATTTGCTGCCTACATCCCAATAACTTTAATAGGGACAGGGGTTTCACTTTGAGTTGGGCGTGGAATCCTGACAAACTTGATGAAGCAGTCTGGAAATAGGAAATATGGGCCACACAACATGAGCACTGACTTTGCCCGTCCGCTCTGACTAGGTCTAGCAATGAATACCAGTTCCAGACAGGTGTGTATATATGAGATGAGTGATATCCAGCCACATCAAAACCCTGAAGATGGGGACAGATGGTTCTCGAATGTTCATGTAAATTAAATTCTGAAAGCTTGTGACGATGGTGCTTCGTTGAAATAAAGAGTTTTCTGGATGTTTTTCATTGTCTAATAAATAAAATCCATGACGTTTCAGAGATGGGACTCTATGTCCTTCTTTGGGTATGCCTACTCAGTTGGGCCCAATCCGAAATGATTTATGATTTTATTTATTAGATGATGGAAAACATTCAGAAAACTCTTTAGTTCATGTAAAAATTTGACAGGGCTGATTGCCTGAGAAGATTTTATTGAGTTCAGTTGCCATTACAGCTTTGAAGCATAACAAACAGTTCTATGAAATGAAACTGATTGAGGGAAATCACCTCATTTTATATGGAATACCATAAATTTTTTCCCCCAGGTCATGCAGGAGGTGGTTATGGGACTGGTGGCTCTGGTGGTAGCAGAGGTGGCGGCGGCGGCGGCGGCGGCTATGGGTGAGTTACATTTGTATTTCTGTATAAAAATTTATTATTTAGGAGCTGTGGGAGAACATTAATAAATTATTTGATGGTATAAAACAGAAAGCTGTGAAAATAGAGTAAACATAGTTGTGATTCCAGTATTATTTTTCAAGCCCTTGGGTAAACTGGGAACTGTTACAGAAAGAGAATTGTAGGAATGGCTTCTGCTCGACTGGAAAAAAAATGTCATCTCTCTGTAGTGTTCATAGAGAAAGGATTGTACAAGTTGCATAATCTAAGTTGGGAAATGTTCATAAAAGTGAGGATTATACACATGACATGTTCAACTAGGAGAATGTTTTTACAAGTTAATAGGGCACGTGCAGTCGAGATAGAAATCCTTTTGGATGGACGTCTTGGTTGCATGAGTAGAATGATCTGCAGATAGCACACACACACACAACACACACATTAATTTGGATGTATACTGTTACGTTTTATGGTGGGTGCAAATTTTGTTATTTTAAGTCGAAGATACCATGGTTGTGCATAATTGATATATATTAACTGTTGGATTGTTTTATGTGGAAGATACCATGGTTGTGCATTGGCATGAACTTGTGTTTGGAAAAGCTTTCTTCATCAGTGATGTGGATACTACAGATTATCTTTTAAATGTTACTTGATGGTTGGTGAATTTTAAAATACATGCACATTGGTTTGACTGTCTCACTTAGACAATAGCTGCACTGTCACAGAAAATGTGAAGTGTAGTTATATAATATTTAATTATCAGAGAATATTGAAATTGCTCTTCAAGGTGAGTTTTTTGGTATTTGGAGATATGATTTTGGGGGTGTGAAGTTGAAATGTTGTTTTACAGATGATGGTTCAGAGGTGGTTTTTTCAGTTTACATGTTCGATTAATATAGAATGGTTAAAGTAGTTTATTACCAGGTGCTAAATATATATATATATATAAAAGGTTAAAAAGTACTTACAAAAATATTCTCCTGGTTTATTGTTTGTCAACATATTTTAGGGAAGATGTTCGGCTGATGAAATATTGCTGTGTATACATTTGTTTCTTTGCTGATAGTTTTGTGCTACCATTAATGAAAATGGTGTTTTCTTAAGTCTCAACAGGTTCTCATAAAAGAGTAGTGTGTAATATATTTGACATGTGACAATATGTGTTAACATGATTATATCCACGAGATGTTTCGAGCTCAGTATAAATTTAAATTTGCAAAGTGTCTTGATCATGGAATGTGCTGTAAAGGCCATTATTTATTACCTTCCATGCAAGTATTAGTGTTACTGATAAAAATAATTCTTTTGTATATGAAGGTTACCGAAGGGGAGATGATATAAACTAGAAGTTAGTAAAAGTGTTTTGATGTTGGTGTTATAAAAGTGAAGTGGGTGTAAATAGACAAAACATATTTACCACTGAAGTAATGAGCCCTTTTGTATATGTAAGGGTGTACAAGGTACAATGGTTATGGTGAAAATGGTTTTGGTATTGTGATAATGAGGTTCGCGTTAAATATAAGAAGAGGTTTCTGTCAAATTCTATGAGGTATTGAAAGGTCTTGACAGTGGTTTTCATTTTGCATAAATGATTTCATAAATGAAAGGGGGCTGCAAAATTTCCACCCCTTGAATCTCGTGAAACAAGTCTTGTGTGAAAATGGCACCTTGGAATATGTAAAATCTCTGAGAATCTGTAAAGAATTGACATGGACAATCCTAAGTAATGTTATGACTTGCCAACTGTATGACATTCCCAAGTCCCATAATCTTTTGCTCATAATGGTAAAACCATCAATGTTACTTTGCTTCTGTCACTTTCCAATACTGCAATTTATATGCCTACCAGCATGTCACGTAGTCATTGTGTACTGGAATTGCATAAACCAATTTAATGTTTTTATTCATTGTGGAACGTTTTCACCACTTTTGTTTTTCAGATGAGAACATAGCCAATTCATAATCTATTTTAAATTAGTGGCTTCACAATGATTGTAAAGAAACCTAATGAGTTAATTGCACATACATCATTGTGTTCAGTTGTGTCCTATTCTTGCAAGACTTCTGAAACCTAGTTACTGACACTTAGATTAACCATTTGGATGTGAAGCTTGTCTAAATAATAATTAAGAATTTAGTCCATACCTCAAAGAAAACACAACACATCACCATTACAAAGATTGACTTGTTAGTGCTGTTCAAGGAAGTAATCCTTGTTTACACTCAGAGTCATACAGAGGCCATCATTACAAAATGCTGCTGTTGTTGTTTTTCTTCTTCTATGGTGCAACAGTCCAAAGACGAGCCTTGGCATCCTCCCATATGGGAGGTTTCTTTGTCTTTGAAGTGTGCATTTATGAGTAGTGAGTGACAAGCCCACTGCCTCTGCACAATTTCTGCTCAATCCTGATTTGTCTGCTAGAGCCATCTAGTAGAAAATCAGGAGAGACATGGGTGAGAAATGGCCACTGAATTTTGCTTACAAAACATGTTACTTATTGTTAACAGCAGCTGGTACATATAGTTAGCATTTGGCTTAATAAGTTTGATGAACTGATGCATCTTAATTGGTTGCACACTGAAGGAAAAATATAATTGTAAAAAAGGAATTTATTAAAGTATTTTTTGATGGTTGAAAAGTATCATAATGATAGTGGAATTAGGAATGTGCATTAAGAATTAAGTTCATACAGTGACATAGAACATAGGTTGCAAAGTGTTAGGAGACTGCAAATGTGTATGCATTTGTGGACAGAACTCATGATGCACTTCAACTTATGCAATAGCATGCTAGACACATGTGCAGGTGACAATCAATTTAAATGCTAGTCAAGTCAGTTTTTTATTGATTGCATTCTAAAATATCAAGATTCTTTAGCTTACTACTGCTACATATAATTAAATTATTTTTATGACCTGTTTGTTGAATGTAAAAATATTTCCAATTGCTAATCACGTTTTATGGTGTACAGTTGGTAGACATTTAATTTGCAATGCCATTGGGTGGCATAAAGTTTGTGTTGAATAGAAGGTACAGACCAGTCTGATCCATATTACTCAGAAAGTCCAGAGTGAACTCGGCGAATAGCACTGTGTAGTGTGGTGGTTTATATGCATGTTTATTGCCTATGACAGTGTTAAAATGTTTTCTTTTTTGCGCTTCTGATATTTGTTAGCAGATACGGCAACAATTAAATGTGCGGCAACAATTAAATGTGCGGCAACAGTTGTGTGATGTGAAAACTTACAGAAATTGCATCTGTTAAATTTCTTTACTGATCCAATAGAAAGAAAGATAGAATTTTCACTTTAATATGAGCCTGTCAGGTTCATGTAACTTTAAGTATCAGAAAATGGGGGTGAAGTGTAAATGGCTGAAGTGTTAGCAGTTTGTCTGCTGTAGCAGTTTTTGGAAGTATTTGTAGATGGAGGCTGAGGTACTAAATAAAGACCAGTTCCTGGGTGAGGATGTGTACCAGGTGTGAAGGTGTGTATATTGACAGGCATGTTTCTATTTAATATTTCATATAAGGCATTCTAGCTAGTCGTTATTTCTTGATTTTAATTAATTCTGTAGGTCGCCAGATGTAAGAACTTTGCTGTTGCAAGAGCTGTATAAAGGAACTGGGCTTTAGAATTTTTTCATTATTATTAACCAACTTAGTAGCTGCTTTCAGCAGAGATGAAGGCCTTATGTCCTGAATTTTGGTGTAATTTATTTTCCTTTCATAGTATATGTACTGAATAGGTTCTGGAGTTCTGAGTACATCAGTTTTAATATACCATACTAGTATTTTCAGGAGACTGAAGAAGAATACAGCCATTTCTCCATGTTCACGTCTTTTTCTTTTACAGCAGGTGAAGCATGTATACCATTTCTTCCATTTATTGTTTAGTTCTTCCTTTAATACAGTTACACTGTTAGTAACAGGCATATTGGTAGAGTATAGCATGATGGAGACAGTTTCTCTTTAAATATTAACATTAAGTTACAACTGTATAATGCTTTTACATGGATAAATGTTTATAGTTTGGGTTCAGCATTCTCATGGTAAATTACCTCTTAATGGAGAATTGGCTGTACACCCAGAATCTGGAAACCCAAGATTTTGTTGCAGATTCTTTTCTGAGTTGCCTGCATTTTACATTATCATCCAGTTACTCAATGCATTAGACCTAAAAGATATTTTCACACTTACAGAAATCAAGAAATGTTTGTGATTTCATTTTTGTTGATCTGTTAATATCGCAAGAAAGTATTTCTGGGTTGATTCCATTATGAGCAATGTTACCATATATAAAATCCCACATTCCCTGTCCACTGATTCCGACTTGACAATTTGACGAGTTGTTGCATTGGATAGCTGCAAGTTTGTAGCCAGGTGGTTGTAGCAGTGACTGCAGTCAGCCGAGGTTCACCGTTAAGCCAGCAGGATCAGACCTCACACTCTTCAAGCGAGAACACATGCACACCACGTACTGATTCAGTGTTATTGCTTCTGTTTTAGCAGTGGCGGCAGGGGTGGTTTTAACAAAGGTAAACGCACCAGGATACAAACCTGGTGCCACTTATTTGTTTTAATTTCTTGGATTCCTGTTACTACAAAGTATGGAGGCTTGTTTTCACTGGTTTAATTACACTTGCTTTAATTGACATATTGGCAGCTCAGAAATATGTTATATTGGAGGTAAAATATAATTACATTGATACTGTGAGTGTGTTGCTTAGGTTGTGTGACATGTTGGAAATGAGGTTTTATCTCAACAGTTTCTGTTTAATGTATGGTTAATTATTTTTAATTTAAATACAATATAATCTGTTATTAAAGGAGGACATCAGGTAAGTTTCATTCCACTATAGATTGTGATCTGACTTGTAATGTCTGAAATCTTATTGAAGCCAGCTTTTTTATATAACAGTAATATGTTGCATATCAGTCAATATTGGGCAGGGAGAATTATCTTTTGCTCTTGCCTGTGTGTGTGTTCTGTTCATCTGCAGATTTCATTCACATGAAAGACTGTGGTGGTCATTGTATGGCAATCTAAAATCCATTTAATGTACAATATGAACAAGTGTGGTTTCTATTTGACATATTTTTCTTTGCTTCCAAAATGGAATAGCAGTGTCATCAAGCTTTAGTGAAAACAAGCCGCATGAAAGGGCTGCTTTCATCTTACTGATTTTATCGCATTTCACATTATCGAATCTAATTTTATGATGTCTTACCCTTTAAATTAATTTTGTGTAACTGTACTATATTCTGAGCATTCTTTAATGCATTGAAGTGAATGTTCACAGTGATAAATTGTTACTTTGGACATTCAGATTACTCTTCTTTCTTGTTACTACTGTCTTGCACATGACATTTGCCTTGGCCTTGTAACTAGAGTGTAATAAGTGATGGAAGTTAGTTGCTGTAGAAGTGTTTAATATTACCCCTTCACCACAGAATGATGGTGACTTCCATGATTATTATATCCTCATGTACTTGAAACTCGATAATGTGAGCAGTCAGATGTGAATGTAGTTCTTCCATGATATTCTTTGATCAGCCATCTGGTTCAGCGATCTTGTTTGTGCGAGCATTTCTACCACCATAAGCCCCTAGTGACCATTACATTTTGCTGCAATAATGTCTGCTACATTTACCCCATATTGTTCGAAACACCGGAGCCCGGTAGCTACTGGCACATTTTATGGTGTATGGTGATTAGCACAAGAATAACATTGGTTATTTGGTAGCACAATATGGATTGAATCCAACCAGAAGGAATAATCATGGTATATGTGTTATTATCACACTGTATACAGTCGTGCTACTGTTAATGATGGTTATAGTCTTACATTTTATTAGGGTTGTACTGATGTTCAGCTTTGAATTGTGTGTAGAATTGTTGAGTCTTTCTGGACTGGAAAATATTAAAAATATTAATAGAAATTTTGTAACCATATACTTACTTTGAAAATATTTGTGTAGAAGGTAGTTTTGGATTAGCCTAATTGTCAGAATTTCAAAAATTGATTCAGCACAACCCTAACATCTGTATCAGTTCAAAACAAAAGTTAGTTTGCCATGATGACATATATTGGAGGTGGAAAAGTGAGTATTGGAATGTTAAGTAATGCACATATAATTTTTGCTTCCACTGTGTTGCTTGCTTACTGAATAATAAATGGACTTCAACCTTGTGTTGGATACTATGATCCCAAGTGGGATGTTAGTAGGTACTAGCTGAAGTGTTTCAGAGGTTTCTGTGATCTTCAGGGTATTCATATCTGTCAACATTGTAATTTGATTGCACCGTGAACCCATGAGGGTGAGAAATTGGCTGTTATTGTTTAACAGTCACATGGTTGAGCTGTCAGTTAAAAAAAAGAGCACAACTTAAATCAAGTTATGCAAAACGAAGCATTAGATAATTGTGAAATAAATTGGTTATCAGAAATATGAGGTAATAGTGTAATTACGGGTACATTTTAAAATGAAATGTGTTATTTGTGTATATGTATCCACTGGCAATGAAGAACAGGCCATTGAGGTGCAGAGCTTTAAGTTACACAGGGTTCATTATAGTATTCAGCGTAATACAAGCTGTCTCATGTGGTCTAGTTTCTCGTATGCATTATCATGGTTATAAAATGTGGCCTTTGGTGAATCAGTTGTGAATTTGGTCATATATTGCATTCAGATGTGCATTTCATGGTAAAATGTGTTGTCACAAAATATTCACAGAAGATATAAAGGCAATATAATTATAATGTATGGCATATGACATAACTTCACAAGCATTATTAGCGTAATTTTAATAAGCGGACTCTTCTGTAGGTACTAGCAAGGCAGGTGTTGTAAAGTATTGCATACTGTAAAAGCAGGACATTCTTGTTACAGTGTGGATCAAGAGGTGTGTGTTTTGCAGGTTATGGGGATCGAGGTGACATGATCACACAAGAAGACACAGTGTTTGTGTCAGGAATGAATCCTGCTTTGACTGAAGAAGACATTCAGCAACATTTTGGTGCAATTGGTGTCATCAAGGTTAGTACATGAAGTAGGTTTCCACAATTGGATTGGATGTTTATGTTTAAATACTTGTTGAATGGTGGTTTGAATTTGCATATTACTGAGCAGACAATTTTAATTTAATATTCATTATAATTTTTACATCAGTGTTCATGCATGCACTGGTGCAAGAATGACATGAGATCATTGTTGGGGCAGGTTGTGCAAAAGTGGCCTTGGATCACATTACTGCAGTAGTGACCTGCATGATGTGTGAAGAGCACCTTTGGAATGTCAGTGTGCTCCAAAGAGTACACCTTTTCAGTCCTCTTTTATTATTATTGGCTATTGATAGCAAAGAATGGGCTATGTTTTTAAATGTTATTAATTGTGTTACTTGCTAAATTTTAGACTGACAGGAGATCAGGAAAGCCAAAAATATGGATGTATAAGGACAAGATTACTGGCAAACCCAAGGGGGAGGCCACTGTTACATATGATGATGCCAATGCTGCAAGATCGGCAATAGATTGGTTTGATGGTGAGTTGTATTATGTAATGATCTTGCACTATTTTCTCAGAAAGTGCATGACAAGCAGGAAGAATGTTCAGTGGTAATATTCACATACATTTCAGGAAAGGACTTCAAAGGATCTATTATCAAAGTTCAGATGGCTCAACATAAGAACAATTATGCTAGTGGGCGTGGAGGACGTGGTGGCAGCAGCGGTAGCAGTGGCAGTGGTGGTGGAGGTGGCAGCAGTGGCGGCGGCGGCAGCAGCCGGGGTGGTGGCATGGACAGAGGAGGGCGTGGAGGAGGAAGGGACAATGTTCGTGTTGAGAGTGGTGGAGGTAAACAGCAACTTGCATTGTGCTTTGCTCACTTAAATTATTTAGAGGCTATATGCATACAACAATGTTACACAGGCAGAATGATAACAGGAATGTGATTTAGGTTTTGGTCGTGATGGAGATTGGAAGTGTCCCAATCCAGAATGTGGCAACACAAACTTCTCATGGCGAACTGAATGCAATCGTTGTAACCAAGAGCGACCTGAGGGAGTTGGGGGTGGAGATCAACCTGGTAAGTTTTATAGTTTCATCTTGTGAGCCAAGAAAGTTTTTGTACATGTCTTTTTACAATCTTTGAGGTTGTATTTGAATTCTGTGAGGGTTAGAATGACATCCCTTTTGGGATTGTTCTTTGCGAAGAACCAGAGGCACTGGAAGGTGTTTGAACATCAGTGGAGCCTGGGCCTGTGTAGATGGCTGGAGGAGGACAGTTACAGTAACCTTTGAAAATGAAGTAGGTCATTGGCTTATGGTGAGGGTTAACTGTCATGTGAAGTTCAAAAATTACACTTCAATTGTCACAGGAGGTAAAGAGTCAGGTTTACCCTTTGCTTAATTGACCACTGCCTGATCAAAAGTATCCGGACACCCCTCTAAACGTAAACTCAAGCCTAGATATCACTACGACCGCCGCTGCTGCTATAAAAGGAGGCAGAGGGCTCGATGTTGTTCAGTGCTACGCGATACCGACAGAATGGGTGGAGCAAGGGAGCTCAGTGACTTCGAACGTGGTATGGTTATTGGTTGCCGCATCAGTAAGCAATCCGTTAGGGCCATTTCCGCCCTTCTCAAGTTGCCCAAGTCGACCGTCAGGGACGTGATTGTGAAGTGGAAACGGGAAGACACAACCACAACAAAACCATGGCCGGGTAGACCATGTGTGTTGACTGACAGGGACCGTCGAACATTGAAGAAGGTAGTACGGGAAAATCGCATGTCATTGTGTGATACCATCACCCGTGAATTCTGCAGTGCCAATAATTGTGCACCTAGCACCATGACTGCTCCGGGAGTTACGAGGACGGGTTCAAAGCCCAGGCACCTGCCCATAAACCGCACATTTCGCCTGTGAACGCTAAGCGCCGCTTTCAGTGGTGTAAAGAGCGCCGCCACTGGGCTGTGGACGACTGGAGACGCGTGATTTGGAGTGATGAATCACGCTATACCATGTGGCAGTCCGATGGGAGGGTTTTGGTGTGACGAATGCTAGGTGAACGCTACATGCTGGCCTGTATAGTGCCCACAGTGAAATTTGGCGGAGGTGGGGTGACAGCGTGGGGGTGTTTTTCATGGAAGGGACTTGGTCCTCTCGTAATACTACGGAGCACGTTAAAGGCGGAAGGATATAAGGATATTTTGACCAGCTGCGTGTTGTCTACGGTAGAAGACCAGTTCGGAGATGATAACTGTGTTTCAGCATGACAATGCTCCCTGCCATAAAGCAGGGTCTGTTCGCGAGTGGTTTGTGGTCAATAAGGTTCCGGAAATGGACTGGCCAGCCCAGAGCCCCGATCCCAATCCTATTGAACACCTGGGATGAACTAGAAAGGCGACTGTGCGCCAGACCCCAATGACCCACATCACTAACTACGCTTGCTACAGCGTTGCAGGAAGAATGGTCGGCCATTCCCCTGGCGACGTTCCAACACCTGGTAGACAGTCTCTCCCGCAGAGTTAGAGCTGTAAGAAATGCCAAGGGTGGGTCCACCCCGTATTAATGTCTGCTACTGGGCAGTAAATCCGAGGGACACTTAGAAGACAGTTTCGCGTTGGTGTCCGGATACTTACCTAATTGAGGTCTGCATCATGGCTCTGCACATTCCTAACCTTATATTTATAGGTCGTGGTGGACGTGGAGGCCGTGGGATGGACAGAGGAGGATTCCGTGGCAGAGGTGGTGGTGACCGAGGTGGAAGAGGCTTTTCACGAGGAGGAATGGATAGAGGTGGACGAGGACGTGGTGGTCCCATGAGGGGTGGAGGGTAAGTTACTTTTCATTTACTGAATTGTAGTGGAGCCCTAATTGTAGAAATTCTGCATTTACAGGATGTTTCTTGTGGTCCTGAGTGAAGCTGCATGTAACTAATGTCATCAGCATCATCTTCCTTTCATGGATGAGGCAAATCACCTGTTTTGGCCTCTAATTTATTACACCTCCTCCCCACCTTGTTTTTGATCTTCCTTTGTCTCATTTGTCAGATGAGCAGTAGTTATAGACTTGTAATGGAATATGAGTTTTAAGGCTTATCAGTGGGAAGGAGTTCACTCTGGCTGCATTACAAGCACTGTGCAGAGCTCAATAGTAGGGCTGCCACCTCTGCTTCTGAGCTCGTAGGATGTTTGTTTTTGCAACCTTCCTTAGACACGCTGCCTTCTCCATGGCTGTTGAGTCACATCTACCCATTGTGAGTTTCTCCTCACCACTTGCTAGCAAGCTGGTCATTGACATGACTGTCTGGTTTATCAGGTCCTAGGCTCTCACTGCAACAAGTTGGTACCCATGGGAGGGTTAACTAATGTGTTATTGTTTGTTTAGATTTAAGGATTTATGTGCATTTTGTATATGAAAATGTTTACTATGTTAGTGTTGAAGGAAAATTTGTATGTCCCAACTCGTAAATTTTGCATTATTAAGATTGTCACTATCATTGCATGTCTCTAGTAACTTATGCAGCATAGTGATTGCCTCTGCCCAGTGTTTGGAAATGTTGCATTTGGTGATAAGTACTATAAAATGAATTGTACTATCATATTCAGTGTCATCAAATAAAACATGATATTTTTTATTCAGATTTTTAGTGTTTGATAAATGATGGCTAATAGGTTAACCTAGTGTGGAATATGTTTCAGTTGATTCCTTTTTTATTATGGCATGATTCTAAGTGAGTACTTCTGTGTTAAAGTTGTTTTGGATTGAGCAGAAAGTCTTTTTGTATGAGAAGTATTATTTGTATTGCTATTTTGTTACAAATGTCAGGAATGTCTGGTACTATGCCATGTTGGAATGTGTGCTTTTTCAACATTGGCATGCTGTTTGAAATTCTTCTTTTTGACTTTCATGTCATTGTTTTTGTAAACTTCTTTTTATGAGCTGCAATTAGGACTTGCCCCTCTCAGCTTGTCTGGGATGAACGATCAAATTTTAGGTTTTTGTGGGATCTCACCATTAACTGAGCCGAATGAATGTGTGAAAATGGCAGGACGTTGAAATATTATGGCCCCCTGAAAAAATTAAAGAATTGTTTGACTTCCATCTATTATTGAATAAAATATTGAACAGTTGCATGCAAAAAAAAGCTTCGGACTGCAAGAAGTGTGCTATGCTTAAGGTTTTTGCAAGAACTCCATATTGCAGTGTAAGAAAGGAGTTTATGCATTCCATTTAATTTTGTTTGTTATTATTCAATAAAATATTGCAACAGCTGATTGGTTAGTGCTTCAGTTTTATATTTGGGAATCCCAGGTTGAAATCAAGGCCCAGATGTCAGGTATCCTGACTGAGGATTTTGTTTTACTCAGGCGCACCAGGCAAATGCTGGGATAGTACCTCATTTGGTTATGACATTGCATTGTTTTTAGAGGTATAATACTGACAGATCTTCATCTTTCTCAACTTGTCAACTATGAACTGTGCAGGAAAAGGCTTTTGCAAGATTGAAACATTGTCATAATTTTTTCCTGACATTTATTATTTATGTGTATCATTAAATAGTTAAATATTGAATTTAATATTTTCATGTGTAATACTAATTTAAACATTTCTAGATTGCTTTATTACTGTTTGTGAATAAAATAAAATAAAAGTAATATGTTGAAGTAGCTTGTGTCAAATTGATATTTATGTGAACCAAATATAACTACATCTGTAAAATCTTATTCCACATCAGTATTTCTCATGTTCAGTAATTTGTATTATTTAATGCCAACACAGTGTTATAGTTTGTAATGTATTAAATTTGGTGTTGTGATAAGATGGTTTAGGGTAGGCACTGGTAATGGTCTCTTGTTAACATTGTTGTTGATCTTTTGGTTCCACAAAAGGTGGGAAATTTAAAAGTTTTGATTTCCTTCAACCCCCATTTAATGTTTTTCTTTGAAGGTACAAAAAGCTTATCTCCAGGTAAGTGTTAAATAGGGGGTTTACTGTTGATGGTTTTAGTAGCGCATTGATCTCAGAACTTGTTGACTAATATCACATACTGTTGTTGTTTTTTTCAGTGATCGTGGACGTGACAGGTCAAAGCCATATTAGATCCATTATTGATGTTGATTTGTGTAATCACAAAGAAAAGCTGTGTGAAGTGACAGGCTAATAAACCGTCATCACATATTGTGTCAAGCAAGACTATCAAACATTTCAACTTTTTTAAGTATATATATACAAAAAATGATTTTGTATCAAGATGCACTTGAATAAATGAAATAGGTTGCATTTGCAACTTATCAGTTCTCTCTCTCTAATGTGTGTAAATGTGTATGTGTGTTTATAGACAGTAATGACTTTGCAAACATTCACATTTGGATAACAAAATTGCACCATCACTTTCAAACATTTAAATGTGTGCCCTGTGGAAAACCAGTTGTTTCCTAAAAGCATCTCCATGTTACTCATATTTCAGTATACACCCCATTCTATAAATGTAGCAGAGCTTTTAGTTCCTTACAAAGTGAGGGAAAAAGAGCAGTTTGTGTTACTGAGAGTTCGTTAATAAAATTCTTTTGGTTCCTTTTTATTGGAGGTTCAGAAACCATTTGTATTAATCTTTCATTTTTATTAGACTGAACTTTTTAGTCCTGTCCTTTTGTCCTCTTGAACCGGTTTCCAAATGCATTCAAGTGTGTGAATTTTTGTATTCTTTGGCCCAGTTTAATGTATATATTGTAAGCTCTATGGAATGTAATATTTGGGAGTGTCCGGTACTGGGATCTTTCCATGTGCATCTGTTACAGTGGTCGCAGTAGTTTTTGGCTGGTGGAATATTCAAGGGGAAGTCTAGGAACAAGTCACTTGTATAATTTTTTGTCTGCCTCCAGGAAGGATGAGGATCTTATCTGACTGATGCCCAAACAAAATAAATATAATGACCTTGCCACCTAAAGTACACAGAGTAGGTCTGTCCACTAGCTACTCTGCCGACCAAAAACTACTGCGCCTGCTGTACTGGGTTGACCACTTTTTTTATTTATTCACGAAATTGAATTTTCTCACTTTTGCATGACATTATGGTTGGTTGTGAGCATAAAAGTATTTAATTTGTGGTCTCTGTGTTATTTCTAAGTTCATTCCAGCATGCAACGTGGTTTGATGTAAGTAGATAATTTAACTGCTCATTTCTTCTGGGAAAATTTGCACTTTTCACTCCAGAGTACATTTAAAGCATGGCACATGCAACTAAAGCATTTATAAAACAAATTATGGCAAAAGCATATCCAGCTTCTCACCGCAGTGACATGGGTTTCTGCTCTGGTCAGTCCATTTGTGATTTGTGGTGGAAAAAGTGGCACTGGGACAGGTTTTTCTCTGAGGCCTTCAGCTTTCTCTATCAGTATCTTTCACTGCTACTCCATATTTGGTCCTGTAACATCTCAGAGATGGACAGTGGGCCACTTAGTGGTAGCCATTACTTTGAAATATTGTTTGAACTCACTGCAACAATGTCATCTCACTTGAGTCTGTAAACAATAATGTATACACAATATTGCTTATGTTCTAACTGGTCTGTTATGTGTGTAGAGGCTCTAAATATAGTGGACAGTACTTTTGTCACATGTATGTAGAACTTTCCAAGATCATTGGGTTGGGTTTGTGTATTGTTACTGTAAAGGTATGGAAGGTTAGGTTGTCTTATTTTAACAGTGTTGTGATTTCCTTCAGCCTTGATGTTTACTTGGAATGTTCACAGTCTGTATTGTAAGATGCTTTGCTCATTTGCAGTTGGTCTGTACTTGGTGTTTTTAGGTACATTTAGTATGTGAGTAATGTAACAATATGACAAGTGGAAGTTTCACGTACAAAATAAAAGTGTTGAAAAAACTAGGTTTATCATGGATGCATGAATTTAACATTATTACTGTTCTTACAGCCTTTGCACTTCATAATAATAATAATATCAATTTCTTTATATTAGGGGTTTACTGTATCTATTGTTTCAGAATCAGATGCATTGTGTTGCTGGTACATGAATGTAATCCACTCCAAGCCTATTCCTCTGATGGCCACTATGTTATCCTACCATCTACACTTCGGTTTTCGGAAACATGCCATTTTGTTAAATGGTGAGCTGTTGGTACCCTGCCCTACCTTAAAGCTGGAAGACCATTCCTTGTCAAGTTTGCTCATTAAGTTATTGTATTTGAAGAACCTCAAAGCCAGTTTAAGCTTTTACATTTGACACTAGTTGACTGAATAACTGGCTTTTATGATAAGATTGGAAAGATTAATTTGTTTGAAACAAGTAGGAATTTCCCATGGATATCTCGGACCATCTATTGAAGATTAGGGAGAGATGTCTTGGCCACGTTTGTTCCATAATTACTGCAAAGAGCAGAAAGTAAAACATTTTGTCTGTATTTCTTTCTTTAATGAACAAACAAAATTGTGCTATAGTCACACATTCAAAGTCCTTGTATCTTTAATTTTTGGAAACATGAAGATCCTTATGGCTGTGAATTTATTTCAGTTCTGCATTTATAATGCAATACTATCGTGTTCAATTGCGTCCATTTCTGTAAACCTGCAAGTGTGTGCTAGATTAACCCAGTGCTTTTGTTTTTAATACCAACTCCACAGAGTTGATGGAAGGTGCAAACAGTCTAATTATCTAGCATGATGGTTAAAGACACTATACAAATATCAGAAACTATCAATATCCTCTTTTTGTTATCCTATTGTGGTTTTATTATAAGGGAAAAAGATTCAATTGCACACAGTATATTTATATCTTTAACATTGTATAATTAAATTCTGGGAAGAATTTTGCATCTAGAACTCAATTCTACATTGTTGGTAATATAAATATAGTCTGTGTGATGATATCTTTGTTCCTTTATATCAAACTATTCTGCCATAAAGCTGAGATTTAAAGACAATGATAGAACTGTGTGAGGAAGCTAGCTGATTGTTCGTTTTAAGCCTTTGCATCGCTTAAAATCATATGTTGTTTAATCTTTAGCGTGAGCAAAGAAACCAAATGGCCTCTTCCATGCTTGCGGTTTTTTTCCGTGCGGGGTAGCCATCCTGCATCACGTGGGTTATTTTCTTAACGCGGTGTTATATAACAAAAAACAGCAGATTAGTGCAACAATAATTGCGTAACGTGAAGACCACATATAAATGTTCTTGTTCTCAAAAGTATTTACCTTTTTTGTTGCTTTTAAATCGTCAGTGTGGTTATGTAAACCTGATTTTCTGATTAAACACTTCAAAATATGACATTTATAATTAATAATTTACAAATAAGGGATTGTTAGTTTCTGCACTAACATCACTTCAGGTACGTAAATAAGCATGGAGCTTCGAATGGTGAGACGATTATGTGTGGAAGTGGCTGTGATCTATTATACGGTACTTACACAAGCATTTGCTTGGAGGTGCAGAGGATAACCATGTAAACCTTAAGGATATGCGATCTCCGGATCACAATCGAAGCCGGAACCTACAGATTGCGAACCAGAATGTCTTTGCATGGCTTAACCTTAGATTTAAGCAGCCATGTAGCTCACTTTACTAATTTTGAAAGGAAAAGCAGGTGCACTATGTCATTAAGAGAGCGGACAGTTTTTACGAACTTTCTTCCTATACTTTGAACGTACGGAAGTATTACACAGTTCTTGGCACAATTTAAAATATATAGATATACAGTGGGCTGCTGAGATCAATTTAATTAGTCACAGAATGCGTTTGGACATACTGTTTATTAGTGCTAACTTTCTTTTTAAAGTTTTTCCCATCATTTGCTACCACTTTCAATTGCATATTAATGATGTAAGTTTTATGACGCACATAACGCCATATTGCTTCTATCGTACTTAGGTTGCACAACAAAAACATTGAGAACACGTGGGATGCAGTGTGTATTTCGGCATTGTTTTATTGAAAATTGTTGTTTTGTGGAAGGCTTCTGACAATATAGGACTAAACTATATTCATCTGTAATCCAGATACACTCTGAAGAAAGTGATTAATTGGTAAGTAGACTACAAATAAGGAAAGAATTTGTCGGCATTTCATTAGCACAGTTCCTGCCATGTTTGTTAAGCTGATATAAGGTAACATTATCGCTAGGAATCATATTCTGGGTAAATATTCGTGTAATCTAAATTGAAAGATGAAACCTATTACTTACACAAATCGCACAATTCATTCAAAGACGGTTCACATCGGTGGGGTTTAATTTTTATTCAAGTAAGGACACAGTTTGATGTTACATTCGACATGGGTTACCATCTTAATTTTTGTTCCAGTAGACCAGAATTTATTTGTAGAAGCTGCTGATTCTTTTTCATTTGGTAGGTTATGATGTTGGACAAACTTTCACAAGCCACTGTGGATTCAATACGATAGTAGAACAGACTAGAATTTATTTATATTCCATTGATCCTTCATAGGTCTGAGTCAAGGATGTAGAACATGTCATAGTACAAATACAGCAATTGTTTCTAATACAGTTATAAAATACACAGTTATGACTGTGACAGTGATTTACAGTCAACTACAGTATTACAGAAAAAATAATTGCACAAGAAATTATTACCACTATTGCTTTCATGTATTTATAATAGTTGAGAATGTTTGGTTGAGGTAAATTTTCCTGTGAAGTAGAATGAGTGAGTTAGGAGGTACTCTTTTGGTGCTGGGTTGAACGTCTTTCTATCGTGATTCAGACTTTTTATAGTGGGGGGAAAGATAACTGAACAGCATAATTACAGTATAATAAACACATTTTTTAACTGATGTTGGTGTTTGGCACATGAAGGTTATATCTATCTTGTAATTATATTGTGAATATCTGAGTTGGTTTGAAATTTTTCTGTGTTATCCACTACAAATTGAGAGCAAGAACTCATTGGTTAATGGAAGAATATTAAATTTATATTGTAATTTTGTAAATGAGGCTTTCCTTTTAGTACCTGTCATTATTTTAATGTTATTCTTTTGAATTTATTAGTGAAATATTGTTTGGTTTATTTGTTTAAATAGCATTATATGATTTTTCTTGGTTCCAATGTTCCATGTGGCAAATAAGAGACTGCTCATTTGTCTTTTGAGCTGTATGAAACATGTGACTTTTCATTCCACAGAACCACAAAAGATGTAATTAAAGAATAACCATCATAACAATCAGGTATATACAAAATACTGTAGGATTTTATAATGTATTGTGATTATTGTTTTTAGGGAAAGCTGTGTACTTTGTGCATAATGCAAAATACCTGTGTTAAAACAGTAACAGTTGGTTTTGACAAGAGTCTGTATAAGCATTTTCCTACAAGATTCATGATTTACCAAAACTTTAAAATCGTTCTTTGAAAAGTTGGTTCCTTATATATTGTGAAAATATTAACTTATGCTGATGCAGAATGTAAATATTTGAGTATTATATTTATCAGCTTTGAGTCCATATAGTTGTTGAGTAACCATTACTGTAATGTACTAGTTCTGAATGTAAGTTTTGACCAGTGACAGTAAATCATGGTCTTTCATTGAAACAATGTAGGGGAGAAGAGCCACTTT